CCCCTTCCTTCCTTCATTTATGTAAAAAGATCAGGGTGCTTTATTTGACCGATTCGGATGATGCCTTACCTGACTGAGTGAGTGTTGCGTGAGCGAGTGAGGCTGGATTGGGCATGGGCTTGAGCTGTAGGTAGGTAGGTACTCACAGGATGCTTCTAGGGTTTAGGTATGTGGTGTGTCTAAGTTTAGACATCATGCCTCACAGGGGGGGGCATAAATGGAGATATGTGAATCGGAGGGCCGTGATCAGGTTGTGGACTTTCAGGCCTATGAATAAATTCCGTTCCTTAATCTTTCTATCTACTGCTCCTATCGATACCGATACCCCAGGATTTAAGAATGACACTCGCTTGGATGCCAAGGTCCGGCGGTTTTCTTAGGCGTGCATGAACCGATTTTTGGTTCTGATCTATCACTGTACTTTAGTATGGGAGGTAGGAGATAGGTACGGTATATTCCTTTTTTTTTCGTGATTACTGAGCCATAGGTGGTTACCTCTATGGACGGCAAGTTCCATGTTGGAGTGAGTTGACGTCTTGTTCCTTCGGTACCTCTTGGCATGCCGCAAGCAAACGAGGAACACGTTAAGCAACTTTGAGCTTTCAGCCTTACGGCTGGTGGTTTGATTGGAAGCTTTACGATCTGAAATATGATATACGATACTTACTTTATTTTTATATGCACGTCAGTGGTGCACTGGGGGTTATGTTTAGGCTCCCGACCTTGAATTAGCGCAAGTTATGTGAGTTTCTCGGATAGGTACTCTGGTTCTAGCCTCGTCTCTGGTTCTATTTGACACATTACGAACGAAAGTTCTTGCTTTTTTAATCTTTTCAATCTGGAAAGTCCCGTATATATTTATTGATGGTAAATGTGTAGGGATTCTATAAATATATTTCAAGAATCTGATTGTAGATTGTAGATCTCGATGGCTAAAGCTTGAGCTCGAGGTCGGGTTGGGGAAAGTTTTAGATAGGTATACCTACAGATTTCTGGTGGTTGTTGTGGTTACCATGGACGTCCATAGAAATGGATATCTCAAGGCGGACTCATAAGGTTGACTTGCAAGACTTGACTTCATGCGTGTGAGTGTGTAACATGAGGCTGTGGTTGGGAATTAACGTTACACACACACACATACCTCACACATACATATCATGATCATGATCAGGTACTCACCGCCACGAGATATATTTTATTTGGGTCAAGTAATTAAAATTGATAATAGGTAATTAATTGGTTTTATTTTGGATGTCTAGCTACTAGGTATCTATGGGGCGTGTGATTTGATGATTACATCGTAATTTACATTCAGCGGAAGGGTTGCAGTGGTGGTGGTGATGATTGGGCTTCTTTTATCGAGGGCAAGGGGGGCAAGGCAAGGCATCGATATTGATGTTGGTTCCGAGGAGATTTAATGGATGTATCACCAGGCCCAGGTGATTGACTTATTCACGGTCGGTGGGGAAGAAACCTGGTTTGTGGGCTGGTTTGAGAACTGTGAACTGGGCATGAGATCACTGTGAACTGGGCATGGGCGTGAGAAAGGATTATGGATTAAGGTTGGCCATACGCAATTACTCGAGTAATATTGAAACAAGGTAGTTGTACTACCTACTGTACAGCTGTGTAACGTTGCAGCCGAACCTCCAAAGATTGAAATGAGTAGGAAATACCAATTGCAAGCACAAACGTATGTACGTTTGGTGAGGCTGAGATGTCGAGTAATCGCGAAATACAAGTGCATGTGACGGCCGCGAGTTTGGCTGCAAGTTCTGGTCGTGTTGCAATCCTAGCCTCGCCCACAGGTTGCAATCCCAAGGTGTAGCTGGCATGATACAGGCTACCTGGTAGTGTACTTGGTGTGTTGGATTAAGCTTAAAGGATATGTATATAAAGGCAGCTCCTCATGAGCGGGAATGAGACTAACTCGAGTACTCGAGAACACTAGTGCACTTCTAGATGCGTCTTACGGCAAGCTTAAGCTCAAGTATTAAGTTGGTGTAATGTAGTGCATTACCACTCAAGCATGAGACTACCACTAAACTCAAAAGTTACTTCCTTACCTGGGACGTCACATCATTTGCGGGTTGGAATATACCTTATTCTTACTACATGTATTACTTGCCTTGTTTACATGTATTTGAGATACTCGAGTGCAGCTAGCAGGACACGGCAAAGCCCGTGGAGAAAGCTGACCAAGTACTGCAAGCTTCAAGCCGAATTTCTGGGTTTGATTAAATAAATAATAATATTAATATTATTACACTTAAGCATAACATTTCTGGAATTATTATACTTGAGGAAATTCCAATATTGATATCAGTTTTGGTCATGATGAGTCGTCGTCCCAGTGCACCTAGTTTAGGTAGGTATAGTAGGTAGTTCAGGCCGAGGCTGTAGTTCAGGTTCCCGGATTTTCTTTTTTGCAAGCTCAAGTGTACTCGAGTACATGTTGCAGATCGATGCAGGTCAGCATATGCATATCTGCATATGCACATGACTACTTTTTTTAACATTTTGGACTGAGGCTGGCGTGCAGGAACAGATCGATTTAAGAGTGGAACGAGCTTGAGGCCAAGTACTAGCTAAGAACATGTACATGTGTACCATGGCCACCCCACCAGAGGAGGTGATACGTTAACATTAGAGACATGACATGTGAAGAATTGTGGGCGGCGGATGGATATACCAGATTCAAATTCACTCTGCCAGTGGCCATGCATCCTCGTGTACATGTGAATCATGATTATGGGCTGAGTACATATTACAATTGCAAGTTACGGGTAGTTCCGTTTATTTTGCCTGATGTTTCTCGAGCTCAACTACTCGGTACAGGCAATAAATACTCGAAAATTTACAAGGGTTTTTGGCTACATTTTTTGCTTTTTATTTTCGAGTATTTCTTGCCTGTACCGAGTATGTAGAGGTTGGAATTGGAATTGGGTAAGGGGAGAAAAAGGCAACGCCTGACTCGAGGCTAAGAAAAAGGTACCTCTACCTTCTCTTGCATGCTGCTGTCTAAATCTTGTCTCGTGCCCAAGATCTAAAACTTAGATGAGCAATTTGGAGGATTTAGATGTACGAAATTTTAGTGTTCTTGGAATCGAAAAGAACTGTGATTTCACCTCTATATTTCGATCTATTAATTACAAATCTAGCCATGATAGCTATAGAGACGAGGCTAGGCTTGATGCTTAAGCACAGAATTTGGACTTGGTAGCTTTCTTACATTGTACCGTACCAATGTAGTAGTAACATGTGGCCCTCGTGTGGCTCGTGCACACTCATGCCGTGTTCCAGTCACGGTGTTCGAGCCATTGCAACATGGCTGGCCCGCACTATTTGTTGACTAGTCCCGGGCACATGCATACATCTGATTGAGTTGTAAAGTTCCAAGGTTACTTGAAGACCATTGGTACTCGAGCTCTGATCAGGGCTGATCTCCAGGAACGTGTAGTCTGGTGGAACGTGGTCAGAATGATAGGCTGCAACTGGGAACGAGTTTATGAGATTGACGCCACGAGGTTTTTACGAAATACGGTAGGTGTAATCTGATAGCCATCTGTAGTCTCGTTCCCAGCCATCTGCTTGGGAATGCTCAAAGTTGAGTGTTTTCTTGGCTACATGTCATGGAACTTTCCGCGGTACTCCACGATCGAAAATGTAAAAGAGTCAGAGTGAATTTGAATCAATGAGAGTACATGTATGTATCTTGATTTTGATTTTGATTTCGTCTGGGTCTATCTTTGGCTCTCGATCTCACGTAATTCTCTGTTTTGCTAACCTATGGATGATAATGTGAATTACACGTGCACCAAACTCCTGTTTCAACTTGTGCTCGAGCTCAATGATGATTATCACGACTGTTGTTTCTTTGAAAGATCAAGATAAAGTACCAAATTCTTCTTCATGTGCCGTTTATGTAGTTCATCGATCGATCGGTCATTCTTCACAACATGTAGTGCACGTACAAGAAATGGTTATTGAAATCTTTATCTAGAGTTCTATAATTAGTGCACGTGGTGGCCATACATATGCCTTGGGACTGAATTTGATTGCGGTGGTCAATCAAAACTCTCCACGAGGATACGCTTAAGGCCTACGATTGCAATCTCATAGCCATGATTTTTTCAAGAAATTGGAAGGTCAAGAGGTACTACAGATGATTGTTGCAATTCTCCAACAGGCAATGACTTGGTGAACTCGCATGGAGCTCCAATAATTTTAATTTGATCAATTATAAATGTTCTTCAAAATTAATTCGAATATGTATTATATAATGATCATCTTCGAGTCTGGGCACGAGAACAACTATCATCAGGCTATCAGTCTTAATTATTTGAAGAATCATAATGTACTTAGTTACGATACTAAGGGCGCGCATAGACTCGTGCCCAGACCCTCATAGAGGGGCACGCATACCTAGTCTCGTGGGCGCGCACAGCTTGGCAGAATCCCCACTTGGGAAGTTCTATCTATCAGCAAAGTTATTTTTGGGAAGTAGCAACTTCCGAATCTGATGTAGCGCCAATTGCCTGCTTCTCAGCCCATCCCGCAGTAATTTCCGCTTCCCCGCTACTTCTTCTCTCATGATTTTTCAGACTCTCTGCATCCTAGTCTCGTGCCCTCCGCATCCCCGAATTCTTGCCATTCGCTTCATCTCCCCACGATCCAGGAATCTTCAGCCCAGAAAACTCAGTTTTGATACACCACTCGTCACACCCATTCCATCATAGTGTTGGAGTATCGAAACTCCGGTCGAGGAAACAGCTCACTACGGCAGATCGAGACAAGCTTCAACATGACGAGAAAAGACGTACAAAGAGCTTCGAAGTACGACAACAAATGACCACTGGGGCTAGACAATCTCACGGTTCAGGTGAGCATTCATTCCATTGAGGCCTCGTCCCTAAATAAAAGACATTTGACTAATACTGAAACGCATCGCCCCAGGCTGGAGGTTATAGAATTTGCCACACTTTGATGAACACCAAGTAGCCCCACTGGCGCAATGGTAGCGCGCAAGACTTCTATTGTGATATCTTGAGGTTGCGAGTTCGAGCCTCGCGTGGGGTTTTCTTTTTGCGATTCTGAGAACCAAAGCACTTGATAGCTTTGAAGAAATTTTCAATTTGTTAGCGAACGATTTAGCGAGATGTTTGCCCCCCTGGCTATAGGTACCGGTAAGCGGCACGACAAGAAGGATGATCGGGCACGAGACTACGGATGATCAAGCACTGTGGTGACACGAATTCGGGAATTGACCTCGTTTGCATAAAAGATTGAAAGGTTTGATATCAACAGGACATTTTGAAGAAGGGACTGATCTGAGAATAGGATGAGGTGTTCTCGTACCCAGGATGAGGATTCCAGGAACGAGACTATGATACCGTTTAAGTTTTTCTGCTTCAAACTTAGGTATGTACTAAGTACATAGTGCAGCTTACCCACCAGGATGCACGAAAGCGCATGGGTATTTACTTCTTAGTTTGGCCCTTGCAGACGTTTACAAGATTAAACCTTGCTTACCTTATTGCAACTTCAGATAGGAAAATTGACGTCAGAATAAAAATCTGCTTCTCTACACCAATTACAGAGGACGAGACTACATCACAAAGAACGAAGTCCCATCCAGCCATAGCCAAAACTGGGCCTAATAGAGTATACCGCTGGAGATCATGGCGAATGCGATTCCTGGGGGTAATGGGGGCCATCCATTTTCTGACAACCCTGGCCAAGTAGCATCAATCCATATTTGGTGGGAGGGTGCATATTCCAGAAGCGGCCTTCGTGGTATCGAGTGTAAGTACATCGATGGGCGGGCATCGCGGCGCCATGGAGATAATGGCGCTACGGAGTTCGTCTTCACGTTGGCGTGCGAAGAGTATTTGACTGTATGCATTCGCAAATTTGATTTTATTCTTGAAATTGAGGTAATATGCAATTGGTTAAATTTTTAGCTGATAGGTGCAAAATTTGCCATTTTTAGACTATTGAGATATGGGCAGACAACGGCCTAGTGCATGCCCTCAGGTTCGCAACAAATCAGCGTATCTCGCATGCAATTGGAAACACTCACTACTCTGGCGCATTCCATAAACTCTCGACGTTTCATGCTCCAAAGGGAGCGGTTCTCTGTGGTTTCGAGGGGCGCTCGGGCGCAAGGGTTGATGCTTTGGCGGTACGTGATTGAATCAGCTTCCATCGATATTTGGTGCCTCTGAACAAGTTGGCCTCATTTTGGGCAACTCTCAACTTGTATCCAGACTTTTGTATCATTGTGCCAGTTACTGTTGCTAATACATAGAGCGAGTGTAGCCTCTATGGGACATACCTTCTGTGTCTGGCGCAACAGGTATGCAACATCGTATCGAAATCACCAGCAACGATATCAGACAAACTCCCAGGATAACTAATCGAGGAAACATTTATGGCAACGGTGCATCTGGATTGGCACGCGTTGGATGTGGCCTCGACAAGGCAACTATATCGAGAATAACGGTTATGGAGTCTAATGGGAAGCTGATGGCGGTGACAGTATGTTTACGACCTTTTCTTAGTTGCTAGTTGCAAGGGGTCCGTCCCTTAGTTTCAAATGGGCTATAACTGACCTTTCAAGCTCGATTACACCAACAGTGGAACTGTCGGCTCTGGGTTGGATTTGGTAGTGGACCATAACGACAATCCGGAAACCCATTCTCTGGAAGGAGTGTTTCACCTACAGTCAAATGAATACATTGTATGCATAAAAGGCCAGGGTGACGGAAACAATATCCATCAATTGGTATTTGTCACGAATACTGGCCGCTTCAGCTCGAGATTTGGTTCTTGCAATCGTGGAAGCCAAACGTTTGAATTGAAGGCCCTGGGGAACCAACCTGGAATGGCACTATCGTATCTCGATTATTCAGTCAATGCGTACAGTACCTTCGAGATAGAATTTCCTTGAAAAGCAAAAATGCTGATACAAAATCTTAACAGAAACGGCCTTGAAATCCTCCAAGCACACTTTATCCAAACCACAGCCGTCTACTACGAACTCACCGACATATTATACCATATCGACGCCTCACCCCCAAAGAACAGGTACTACCGAGAAAGGTCGTTAACTGAGCTCGTGAGTCGATATTTTTATAATAGCTCAAACTCGGTGCAGACGTATGGGGAGGTTATCCCTCCGCCGCAACTTTCCACCCAGAGATTTAAGTTTCAGCTTGATGAGGATGCGATTCGGGCACTTGAGGGTGAGGAGAATTGTGCCTGGGGTGAGGGGAGTGGAAGCGGAAGTGTGGCGTTCAGTGTAGCTCCTCCAGAGCTTGTGGGGTCGCAGTTGAGTTGTGTGATTAAGAGTGTGAGTACCTGCCTCTTATCCTACCATCCTACCTTCCAATCCGTTTATATCCTTTTTTTTGTAAATCTTTATCATTGATTTTCGACTAAAACCCTCACTGACATACTTATTCTATAATAAAGGGATCAATGGACACCGTCCGAGTAGCCAATGGAATCTTCTTCAATCCCACCCCTCCCTCCAACCCCATGAGCACCCATACAACAGTCACCTTAACCCCCGCCACCCCTCCTCCAACAACAATGAACATCACAATCACCCCACACTCCTCGATGCGTCTTAAAATCGGATACGTCACGACCCGCGTCGTCCGACTCCCGTGGGAAGGTGAGATGCGCATCATGCCGCTAGCGGGCGGGGAAGAGGATGAGGAGAATGTGAGGAGGGTAAGGGTGGGAGGGACGGTGACGGGGGTGTTTGTGTCCAAGATGTCGCAGGTGATGATATCGGAGAGTCCGATTTCCGTGGGGGGTGGGGTTGGCGAATGTGGCTAGTACTCGCGAAGGTTGAAGGGGTGGAGGGAGGTGCGGGGAGTTCATTTGGTTTATTTGGCGCGGAGGGGAGGGGAGCGTCGTTTTGTATTGCTCTTCTACTCCTTTTTACCGATATTTGTTGTTTTTGCCATGGATGGGCTGCAGGTGGTTGAGAGAGTTGAATGTGGAATGGGAGTGACGGAAAAGGTTCCCCAAGTGTACTCCAAGTACCTAACCAATGTATTGTATTATATTAGCATAAGAATGAAATTCATATTCTCAATCTGGTGGATTATATAATTCGTCTAGGATAAACTTGCAATTGATCGTGATTATGATTTTGATATCGCAACTGGAGCTCATCTAGCTTGAGCTTATGCTTTTATCGGTATGCATGTAATTTTAATTGCAGATTGTAGCTGGTGATGGTATATATCAAACATGTTTATTACAATCCATATATAGGTATATGATCCCCTTCAAAATCGACTATCCATGATCATACCTACTTACCTAGGTATACATACCTCTTTGGCAGGTTTATAATCTTACAGCTGAAGTATCGATTACAACTTTCAAACCCTCATTTCAATCAAACCTTTAAGCTTGCAGCGGTCAACGTCCATGGCAATCAATGTATACATATAATGATTGTAATACCATGGCCACTTGAGTACGTACTCCCAGTATATAGGAAAATTTAAAGCTCGAGCTCGGTATCCCGAGAAGAGAACCACGCGGGCATACCGACCTAAGTACTTGGTAATGATTATGAGTTATAGAGCTACCTCCTACTTGAGTAATCATATATTGGGTATGCTTCATTAATTTTACCAGAAGGCCCACTCATGGTCATGATCATGACGTGAGTACCTTTGAGTTTAGCTATATTCCTATAGACTTTCATGATATTATGATTTATTATCCATATAGTCATGCATATGATTTAACTACTTCGAGGCCTTACGTCTAGATCCAAGTCTACCCAAACAAGGTCTTGATGTAACGGTACTTTAAGAATCAAGGTACCTTTGTTTACAGCATGGATACCGAGAGGTATCTACATACCTATGACAAGAGGCTTAACGATATTCCTGCAGCTTGAATCATCATGATCATGGTATCCATATATGCTTGAATTAATTAGATGTATTAACTTGCAAAGCTATATAGCTAATAATGGGCACGAGAACAATATAGCTATAGATATAAAGTATATTTCAACCTGTAGCATGGCCATAAAAAAAATAAAAATAAAAAATAAAAATAAGAACAGTATTATATTCCTCCCATTCTTCAGGATCCAGAGCTTGCGAGGGAGTAGCCCGCGGGCCCCGAAATCCTAAAATCCTACCGACCTCACCGTATCCTATGTTCCATAGATCCCATATCCGGATCCTATATCCCACCCAAAGAAAAAGAAAGAAACACAATTGAGCCCGGCGGAGATAAGAAAAAAGGCTATGCTAGTGGACGATATCATGAGATGCTAAAATTAAACGCAAGAGGAAACAAGAGGCAAAAAGAGAGAGATGGGAGAAAGAATGCATATATCGAGGTATTATGTGTGGGGAGTATGTGTGTGAAGGTGTGTTTGTGAGTGTGAAATAATCCACAACGTATTTCATCATCATCATCGTCATTATCATCATCGTAACTCAACTCAAGTGCCACCACCACCACCAAAGAAATAAGATATCTTGATTCAAAGGGTTACCACACCCTCTAAACCCTCGGCGCCGACGCAGCCTCAATCTCCAACACCGACCCTCCAAGCGTACTCGCCCTCTTGGCCGTCCATTCATCCATCTCCTCCCTCACACCCACCTTCGGCAATTCCCACACCGCGACCCCCCCAATCACCGTCCCCAGCACGGCCAGCAACCACGACAATCCCGCGAACCCGATCCCCGTTCCGCCCAACCACGGCCCCAAGAGCGCAATCACGTTGGCGCCCTTATCACCTGGGTCGTAAAACACGGATTGAGGCCAGTTGAGGTTCACGAGGATATTTCCACCCACGGTCTGCGCTGCGGCCATTGCGCCTGCGCCGCAGCCGGCAATCACGATGAGTGCAAGGCCGAGGTAAGCGCGGGGGTTGTGGACGGCCCAGCGGCGGACGTGGCGGGGGACGCTGTGCGGGTGGCTTCCGTTGCGGATGATGATGTATCCCGTCCTAAAGACTCCCGTGACCGTCCACGCGAGGATGGCGAGGGAAAGGAAGAACGCAATCGCAATCAGGACCGTTCCCG